TCTTGTGCACTCTTGGTGGGAATGTAAAATGGTATAGCTGCTATAGACAACAGTATGACAGTTCCTGAAAAAATTAAAAATAAAATTACCATATGATCCAGTAATTCCACTTCTGGGTATATACCTAGAAGAAGTGAAAGCAGGGTCTCGAAGAGATATTTGTACACTCATGTTCATAGCAGCATTAGTCACAATAACTAAAACATGGAAGCAACCCAAGTGTCCATCAACAGATGAATGGATAAGCAAAATGTAGTGTGTGTGTGTGTATATATATATATACACACACACACACACACATATACACATATATACACACACACATATATATATACACACACACATATATAAAATGTGTATACACACAATGGAATATCATTCACCCATGAAAAGGAAGGAAATTATGACATATGCTACAACCTAGAAGAACCTTGAGGACATTATGTTAAGTGAAATATGCCAGTCACAAAAAGACAAATAGTGTATGATTCCACTTATATCAAATCACAGAGACAGAAATCATAGAGACAGAAAATAGAATAGTTGTTGCCAGGGGCTGCAGGGAAGAGGAAATGGGGAATTATCATTTAATGGATATAGTTTCAGTTTTATAAGATAAAAAGAGTTCTGGAGATGGATGGTGGTGATGGTTGCACAACATTATGAAGGTATTTAATACCACCAAACTATACACTTAAAAATGGTTAATATGGTAAATTTTATGTTATGTGTATTTTACCACAATAAAAACAAGTGAGGGGCTGGCCTGGTGGCATAGCGGTTAAGTTTGCACACACTGCTTCAGCAGCCTGGGGTTCGCCAGTTCAGATCCCAGGCCCGGACCTACGCACTGCTTATCAAGCCATGCTGTGGCAGGCGTCCCACGTATAAAATAGAGGAAGATGGGCACAGATGTTAGCTCAGGGCCATTCTTCCTCAGCAAAAAGAGGAGGACTAGTGGCAGAGGTTAGCTCAGGGCTAATCTTCCTCAATAATTAATTAATTAATTAATTAATTAAAATTTAAAAAAAAACCCTGAAAACTATGGAGACATTAAAAAGATCAGTGTTGCCAGGAATTAGAGGGGAGGAAGGGATGACCAGAGGAGCACAAAGTTAGGGCAGTGAAACTATTCTGTATGGTACTAAAATGGTAGATACACATCATTATACATTTGTGAAACTCATAGAATATACAATGCCAAGAACGAACCCTAATGTAAACTATGTACTTTGGGTGATAAGGATGTATCAGTGTAGGTTCATCAGTTGTAACAAAAGTACCACCCTGGTGCTGGACATGGATAGTGGGGGAGGCTGTGTGTGGAGGCATAGGCTATATGGGAACTCTGTGTATTTTCTGCTTAATTTTCCTGTGAATCTAAAACTGCTCTAAAAAGTAAAGACTATTTTTCAAATAGGAGACTAATACTGCAAAAGAGTTTTTTTGCCTTTACATCTTTTAAATATTTTTCACAACTGCTTCAAACAAAAACACAAAATTAAAGGGTCTCACTCTGCCTGTGGACCTCTGTGATGTATCCCTGGACTAGTAGTCCACAACCCTCAGTGTGAGGAATACTGATCTGCATCACTCATTTGACAATTTCATATACACTGCCTTGAATTGTGTTACTTAGCTCTTTCATGTTTGTCTCATTTTCCTAATGATGCTGCAAGTGATTCAAGGAATTGTTGCATTTTCTATTTCCAGAGTATATGTACTGGAGGATAAGTTATGTGGGTTTACAAAAAAAGAAAAAAAAATTTTTTTTTTTTGAGGAAGATTAGCCCTGAGCCAACTACTACCAATCCTCCTCTTTTTGCTGAGGAAGACCGGCCCTGAGCTATCATCCGTGCCCATCTTCCTCTACTTTATACATGGGACGCCTACCACAGCATGGCTTGCCAAGCAGTGCCTTGTCCGCACCTGGGATCTGAACTGGCGAACCCGGGGCCGCTGAGAAGCAGAATGTGCGAATCCGACCACTGCACCACCGGGCCGGCCCGAGAAAAATTTTTTTTGGTTGAAGAATAAAAAAAGTTTCACTAAAAAGGATGGGCTTTGAGTTGAGTCATAAAGAAAGGGCAGGATTTTGATTAAAGCATTCCAAGCAGAAGGGACAGCATTTGTTCAGGGGCAGAGGAGGGAGAAAGGAAGAATTATTTGAGAAGGAGGGAGTGATTTGGTTTGATTGAAGCATTGGACATTGTAGTTGAGAAATAGGAGATAAGGTTTCAAGTTAGACTGAAGAGAGAAACTGTGGCTAGAGTTTAGGGGAGTCTTGTATGTCAGATTAAGGAGTCTTAATTTAGTAGGTGAGTGGGAGCCAGGGACGTTTTCGACAGGCAAGTATAATTATCACAGCTGAGTTTTAAGAGAATTAATCTGACAGGAAAGCACAAAATGAACTGAAGGAAGAAGAGATTGGGAGCCAGTATGGTGTAATGGTTAAGAGGACTTTGAAGACAGATGGACCAGAGTTTGCATCCCAGCTCTGCCACTTACTGTATAACTAGAGCAAGTTATTTCACCTCTTTGGGTCTCAGTTTTCCCACCTGTAAAACAAGGATAATTATAACCACCTTCAAGGTTGTTGTGAGGATTAAATGAGATAATGTACAGGGCCTGGCCCAGAGTTTATATTCAGTAAATGATAGCTATTAAGCATGCTTGTTAAGAGACTATTAGGGGGCCAGCCCAGTGACACAGTGGTTAAATTTGCGTGCTCTGCTTTGGTGGCCCAGGGTTCACAGGTTTGGATACTGGGCATGGACCTACACACTCATCAAGCCATGCTGTGGTGGCATCCCACACACTAAACAGAGGAAGAATGGCACAGATGTGAGTTCAGGGACAATCTTTCTCACCAAAAAAAAAAAAGAGAGAGAGAGAGACTATTAGGAAAGGGAAAGGAAGGCTTGTCGACTGTGGCTCATACTATAGGGTATGAACATTCAGCTAGGCTTTAGGGGAGGAGCAGCATCAAACCCCACTATAGTTCTGAATCTGAGTAATAGAAAGTGATGGTAACACTGATGAAACCCTAGGAGCTGTTTAGAGCTGGAGGAAAGGGGTTAGTTTTTGTTTTGTTTTTTTTTTAACGTGTTTAGCTTGAGGGGCTGGAAAGTTATCCAATGGTTATTGCAAGTGTATATTACTAGTTGGTCAACAGAAATGGGGGGCTGGTGCAGAGAGAGACTGGTACAGGTCGTCAAAGCTAGACCAATATATTTGAGTCATCTACAGGGAGGAAATAAAGCAAGCTGTGGAAATAGATGAGATCAATAAGGGCAAAGAGTAAAGAAAGAAGAGAGTCTGAAGACACAACCTAGGTATGCTTATTTCAGTGTATGGAAAAAGAGAGAGGAACCTTTGAAAGAGTCAAAGATTACGCGGTTAGGAGAATAGGATGAGGATCCAAGAAAGCGGAGTTTCCCTGCCCATTCTAAATGATTGGTGGGAAACCCCTCTTTTGAACAACTGAGCAAGTGGGAACTGTTCTCCAGAAAGTTTTCTCCTAGCCTGTGGCACAACCATTAACATGGCGTAACCACTTTAGTCACACTGGATTACCAACAGTGCTTACAGGCAACACTCCCCAGGGATCCAGCACAAACTTAATTTTCAGTGGAAAGCAAAGCTCTTTAATGTTTCAAAGTAGCAAAATAAATTTAATATATTTAAGAAATCCAGGCAACAGCTGGAGCTTCCAAGAACCTTTAGAAATGGGTCCTGTGTCTAGTAAAGCAGTTTGTTCTCAGTCGAGATCGTGCACCTTAAAACATTTTAATTCACGGAGTGAATCTTTGTGTGTGCTAGTGACATGATATTACATAAATGAAGTTTAATTCAGCTCACACAAAAAGAGGAAAATTATGCTTCAATGTATCTTTGTCTTTCTGGAAATAGACATATAAATGCTTATACCTAGAAAAAAGACAGGAAGGCTGTATACCAAATTATTAACTGGGATTCTCTTTAGGGGACAGGCTTACGAGTGATTAAAATGTTGTTCTTTATGCTTTTCAGTATTTTCCAAAATTATTACAATTGAATTTCATCATTTTTGAAATATAAAAAATGCTATTTAAAATGAAATAAGGCAATTCATTCTCCGTGACTTATGTGCACTGAGACTTCCAAGAAAAGAAAATAAAAATCATACCTCACTATGGCTTATTTACTAAACACCATGAAAATGACTTGTCAGTAACTATCCACATAGATAGATAAGAAGTCAGGAATATAAAATACTATATGCTATCAACGGAAAACCTTTAAAGTCTAAACTACATATTCAATCTATTAAAGTTACTGCTAGGATTTTAGGGATTAATTTTTAGAGTTTGTATATAATTCAATAGATCCTTCAAAGGGACAGAGCCTTGACACAGAATTAAGTTTTCTCAAGTAAAAGGTCATCTGATGAATGCCAGGTTAATCCATAAACGTCCATTGCATGCAATTTCTCTAGTGGAAAGCTTTCTCCTCTGCTGTGGCACGACCATTAATGTGGCATAACCATTTTAATCATATTGGATTACCAACTGCTTACAGGCAACACTCCCCGGGAATATAGCACAAATACAAGAGATTCTGCAGCTGCAAAGGTTCAAGATGGAGAAGCCCAGAAGGCCCAGGGTGTGAGCTGCATTGATGCAGATGAGTCATGAGTCTGACTAATGAATCAATCACCTTTGCAATGCTCAGGGGACTGGGAATGCAATTTTCAGGATGTACTGATGATACAAAGTGATGTAAATAAAATTGAACTGAGTACAGCCTGTGCTTTGATGGGTTCTGGCTTAGGACTGCTCAATAAATAGGGCCCTTCTGGCAGTGAAAGAAAGGAGGGAAAACACAGCCAGAAAATCTTGTGCTTGCTTCAAATCTATGTTATTTTGCAACTGTTTTGTCTTCATCCTACCCAAGATTGCCCACAAAAGCTAAAACAACTGATGTTTTAATCATTTTGCAATCAGAGAGAGAAAACTTACCAGTTTCAATCCTGTTGTTAACATCAGCACTGACTTTTGATACAGAGCTCTCATCTGTCACAGAGTTTTTCATTGTCTTCTCCCTAGAGCTGCCACATAGAATAATTTACAGTCATGTGTCACTTAACAACAGGGATACATTCTGAGAAACAAATCATTAGGCAATTTTGTTGTTGTGCAAACATCATAGAGTGTACTTACACAAACCTAGATGGTATAGCCTACAAACACCTAGGCTATATGGCACTAATCTTATATAACCACCATTGTAATATGCAGTCTGATGTTGACCAAAACATTGTTATGCAGTGTATGACTGTATTTAAAACTCAAAAGGCAGCTTCATGGGCTGGCCTGGTGGCACAGCGGTTAAGTGCGCACGTTCCGATTTGGCAGCCCAGGGTTCGCCGGTTCAGATCCTGGGTGCAGACATGGCACCGCTTGGCATGCCATGCTGTGGTAGGCATCCCACATATAAAGTAGAGGAAGATGGGCACGGATGTTAGCTCAGGGCCAGTCCTCCTCACCAAAAAGAGGAGGATTGGCAGCAGATGTTAGCTCAGGGCTAATCTTCCTCAAAAAAAAAACCAAACAACAAAAAGGGGGTTTCTGAGATCACCAGTAAATACTATCCAGAAACATTAATTCATGGTGATCAGATGCTTTTTCAAATTTTCTAGAACATATTAATTTCACAAATATTTCCGTTAAAGCCATTTTTTAAAAAGCCATAGTATTTCTGCTGAGAATAATGAGAGAGGACACTATAGTCCAGCCTTTAAAGTATGAAAGCCAGAAAATTCAGAACTTATGCACTCTGTTTTCTTGAAACAAACTTAGGTCTGAATGATTGACAGAATAAGATATTTTCTTTTGAATTAAAAAACTCATAGTTAGGACACAGAAAGGAAGATTCTGCCACCAAGAATTATAGTGGAAACAACTACAGCCGTTAGTTAGAAAAACAGATGAGAAAAGCAAGTGTTTGCACTTGACTGATGTAGTACAGTAAGATCGGGAAGTACAGCCTAGTCTATGAGCCAGGCATTTTATATCCACCATTTCCTTTCATCATAAAAGCTCACCTATTATCTATTATTTCCATTTTATAGGTTGGGGGAACTGGGATACAGAAAGGCTTAAAAAAAAACCATCACTGAAGGTTGGAGAGCCTGTAAGATATTAATGTTAATACTGGGCACTTGCATAATATTTTGCCTTTGGTTTTGCAATCACTATAGGTAACTAAACAGGAATATGATGGCACCAATTATTTGCCATACTAGAAAATTTATTCAGTTATACATTAATTCATCTCTGTACTTCTATAGTAAGCTACAAAATAAATACATATTTATTATTTTTAATTAATAATACATTTATATATTTATTTAACATATTATATATTATTATTATATATAAACACACATACACACAAAACACATATATACATACATATATCTAAGACTAAGAGGATATTTACCATAATATAATTAATGTTTATTTCTGGGTAGTGGGATTATGAGTTACTTTTTTTTTCTTTTTTTTTTGATTGGCACCTGAGCTAACAACAGTTGCCAGTCTTTTTTTTTTTTCCTGCTTTTTCTCCCCAAATCCCCCCATTACATAGTTGTATATTTTAGTTGCAGGTCCTTCTATTTGTGGCATGTGGGACACCGCCTCAGTGTGGCCTGATGAGCTAGCGGTGCCATGTCTGTGCCCAGGATCTGAACCAGTGAAACTCTGGGCCGAGGAAGCAGAGCGCCTGAACTTAACCACTAGGCCACAGGGCGGGTCCCGAGTTGCTTATTTTATTCCTTGTGTTTTTTCCTATACTTTCCAAATTCTCAACAATAAGCATGTATTACTTTTATCATCAGAAAAAAATACTAATAGATACATCTACAAGTGTACACAGATGTCTGGAAGGACGTATACCAAACATTACTAGCAGTTAACTCTTGGTAGCAGAATATGGGGTGATTTTAATTTTTCTCTGTACTTTTCTGAATTAAGTTGTTTGTATTGGACTCCTATTTCCCAAAATTAATAAAGCTACTGCTTTTTAATTTAATTTAATTAAAAAACAATTTTTTTTTTGAGGAAGATTAGCCCTGAGCTAACTGCTGCCATTCCTCCTCTTTTTGCTGAGGAAGGCTGGCCCTGAGCTAACCTCCATACCCATCTTCCTCTACTTTATATGTGGGATGTCTGCCACAGCATAGCTTATCAAGCAGTGCTATGTCCGCACCCGGGATCCGAACTGGCAAACCCCGGGCCGCCGAAGTGGAAGGTGCACACTTAACTGCTGCGCCACCGGGCTGGCCCCAAGCTACTTTTTTTTAAAGCATGGGTTTTGGGGTAGAAGATATGGTACCTTATTTTGATAGGATTTTAGTAACAAGAAGTAGAAAAATCTACCTTTCAGATACTTTAGAGCTTCAAGTTCTGTTTACTTTTAGTTTTGTAGAGAAGTGCTTCCCTTATCACCTTTTAACAAATTTATTTCTAACAACGCTGCCCGTGGTGATGGGAATAGGAAAAGACCACGCGCTGATTTATAACTCTACCAAGAAAGGATTGGTAAGTGTTTACGGGGATAAGTTATTTCATAGTATCCCTATTCATAAGCTTCGAAAAACAACTTTAGAGAATTTACAAATGTTCCCACCGAGGGCTAGATTCTCATCCCAGATAAATCTCAATTTATTGAATAGATACTTTTATTCCTGATTTGAGGATTCTTACAACTTGTGGTGATTTCTGCTAGAAAATGAAGAATGTTAAGCAGGAATTCACTACTCTGTGTGTCCAGAACAAACTAAAAAAAATTTGTAAAGAATCTTCTTACCTTTTTTCCACCTCTAAAAGAAAATTTTCACTGTTGCCCAACTGACTAAAATGCAGCTTGGCAGCTTTTCTCTCACTTTCTCGTACAGTTCTGTCATCTGGAGGCAAAAACCGTGGTCTGAGCATGTTTCTTTTTTGGAGTAAATAGTAGTGGGTCAGAAAACCATATTCACAGAGTAAAAACTAAAGACCAATCTCATCGTCTTTCGTTAGAGACAGGTCACAAAACATTGCTATTATGTTGTCACTGGAGCAAGTAGTAACTCAGGGAGACTACAGGGATACCATAGCAACAACTGCCACATAGGTGTCACTACCACTGCAGGAAAGCAGAGCTTGGGCAGCAAATAATCCAGATGGCCTACTCTTAAGGCTGAAAGTTAACACTATTTCTGAAAGACTTTACTTAGTTTCCCCACAATAACTTTCCTGAGGGCATGTGAAATTGACTTTTGTATCAGTAAGAAATGTATACTCAACAATAAAATCATAGAGAAATATAGACCAGCTCACTTGAAGGAATATTTATTGTTCCTTGCCAACTAAGCCTCAAAGAGTTGTATTAGTTTTCTACTGCTAATAACAGTTGCGAAGTGGGGGAACCTGGAAAAATAAATCTACACCTGGAAACTTTTTGTTGGGGAGGAAGTGGTGGTGAAACCATCAACTGAAGAAAAACTAAAGCTGGAAGTAACTGATAAAATCATAGATTTAGATTGTCATTCACTAAACAATAAAAGGACTTGTCATACATCCTGCCAACACAAAAGAGTTACATAAATATTGACTAATAAACAAATATATCCTGCCAGTGCACTCTCTGGGCCAACATCCAAGAGGTTAGGAGGCAGCTGGTTTAAAAATTCTGGGGCAAGGAACAGAGAAGGAGGGTCTCACCCAGTTTCTCCAGGGTTTGTAGCGTGTACACAGCAAAGAGCCTATAATCTGTATCTTTCCTGACAACAGGATTGAGTCTCAAATCTAGTTCTTTGAGGAAGGGTAAAGGCTGTAGGCGGGACACCTCCACTAATGAAGGAATGTTGTTATAATATAAATTCAGGTCTTGGAGTGAACATAAATACTGGATGCCCTGCAAGGAAAAGACCACATTATGAAACTGCACCTCGGTAAGGACTAGGAATCTCAAAGATAAAGGTGGAAATATATCTATTTTCATCCTTAAACATTTTACCCAAGTCACCCATGACAAAGGCAGGGTTGAAACTCCCATTTAGTTGCCTGAGAATAAAAATACTGCAGCCTATGGGCACTGGTGCTCTATACATTAAATAATTCACAGATATCATACATTTCCTCCTTTACAAAAGCTGACATTCAGATATCTGCAGTCAATTCTCTACTTCTATTGCTCCCAATCATACTCCCAATCCAACCCTTTCCAGTGGTAGCCAGGCCGAGCCACTCTTGCACTTCTCTCACCCTTGCCACAACCATTCTCCTGACCCCAGAGACACCTCAATTTACAAGAGGAAAGGAGGCAGGCAAAAGAGATGTTTCTGAGGGAGAAGGGTGTGGTTAAAAAAAAAATTAAGTGTGCGGGTGCGTGCTGTGTTGTCTTAATATCTCAATGCCTCACTTTAAGGTCAATGGACCATGTGGGAAAACAAAACAATGCTATCTCCAAGTCTTCCCGCCTGGACCAGTTTGGAACCCCTTTTGTCCCTGTTTCCCCCTTCAGTGTTACTGCCACCAAAAAGCTCCGTGTCCTCTAATCAGTCAGTTCTCCTTAGCAGAATGTTCTTCCTTCTTCAGTTCTCCTCCTGTGGACTTAGCAACCCCACCTCTCCACTTAACTGGCAACAGTACAACCAGGACTGGGAAACTTGAGGGGAAAAGCCATGATTTTCCTCCTTCGCTGAAACCTACTATTGAAAATAATTGTTTAGTTTTCATGTATTTGGCTAGTTAGCTGCTTTTGCCCAACACTAAATTTCAGGACAATGTTTCAAAATATGCACATAAATGTATAATCACATACTTTTAGTAGTAAAAATGCTTACCATAAAAGGAACTTTGTCACTGAGAATTATTTCAGAAAGGTAAAATTATTTTCTATCATGTATTTATAAAATAAAATTATCATTCTCCTCTCATTTAAAATTACCATTTTCTCATTGCAGGAAGTTTAGAAAACTCAAAGATGTATACAAAACATTTCTGAATAGAACACTGTTTATACTTTGGTGCATTTCTTTATGGCTTTTTTCAATTCCATTAATTCTATATTATGAAAGGGTCAGTGGTTATGAATAATTATCAGTGCCTTTGGCCCCACTCTCAGGACAGTATACCATTAGGACTGTCTTTTTAAATGTGTCTAATGCCCCAGCTCAAGTAATCTGTTAATGTCTCTCAGTGTAAACGTCAAGGAAACAATTTCTATCCTCTTCTCAATTTTCCCAGTTGGCATGAATTCATATATTGCCCAAAGTTACACTAGAAATAATCACAAAGTATTTCCTCCCTGGGAAAATTAAGCAAAATGATTCAGAGCTGTTAGACATGAATATAGGCAGATAAATTGTAGATGCAAAAAAAAATGTAGAAAACTAACATCTGCTAAGTGCTTTCTGTACGCCAACCACTGTACCAGGAGTCTTGTATATGTTATATTTGACTCCATATGCCAATTTGATTAATCTTCACAACAGCTTTTCATCCAATTTACAGAAGAGGACAGAAAGGGAGTACAAAAACAATTATAGCGATGTTCACTAAACTTTTTTAGCCTGAAAAAAGAACAAACATGTAAAAATACATATGAGGAGACTTAGCAACTCTGTACTAATACTTTCTGAAATTGATGGGCCAAATACAAATGGCTGCTACCAATAGTCGAAAGACCTAGTTCAACTTGGGAGTTTATGCTTTTGGAGTCGTACTTGGAAATTTGATCTTGCTTGGGCTTCCTCTTTTAGGGCCTTTAGTTTTAGACTTTGAGATTGGGTCTGGCTAGTGTTGTTGTACAAATATCCCCTAAGAAGTGCAAAATTGGCAGAATAATCCAGGAGATCATTAACCAATAGTGGATAGCATTTGTACGTCTTTTACCTTCAGTCTTGCAAAGAAGGGCTTCATCAAGACAGGTACTTAGCTGGGCAAAATGTGAACAGTGGGAGAAACACCATTTGGGTGTCTACCACATAAAAAACAGAACTTCCATCGCCTTGTGTGTGCATTTATGTTTGTAGAGCTCTTTCTGTGTGTTTGCTAATCCTCATACTCTCTGCTCAAGTCTACTCCAGCCTACTTTCCCGCACTGTCCTGTGCTCTATCATTCTCTAATCTGGAAATTTTTTTGTTTTCAAGACTACCATTTCTTCTCCCTCCTAGAAAAAACCCACAGTAACAACCTAGGCCAGTGTTTCTCCATGTGTGTTCCATGCACCAACATCATCAGAATCCCCTGAGTATGTCTTGAGCCCACCCCAGATCTACTAACTCAGAATCTCTCTCAGAGTAGGGACTAAGAATCTCTACTTTTACATGTGTTCTTCACTTTTTTTTTTGGTGAGGAAGATTGGCCCTGAGATAACATCTGTGCCAATCTTCCTCTATTTTGTATGTGGGACGCTGCCACAGCATGGCTTGATGAGCAGTGTGTAGGTCCATGCCTGGATATGAACCCGCAAACCCCAGGTCACTGAAGCAGAGCACGTGAACTTAACCACTACACCACCTGGCCGGCCCATCCTCCTAATTTTTTTTACACACATTAAAAATTGTACTGTTGCACTAGGCAGTGATAGTTTAATATAGTTTTCCTTGAGTACAAAAGGATTTTTTCTCAAAATTTTACAACAAAAAATTTCAAACATAAAGCAAAGTTGAAAGAATTTTACAGTGAATAGTAAAATTTATTTTGGAAACATTTAAAAGGAAGGTCCTATATTCCCCAGGCTGACATTATCTATCTTTTATTTCTTCCCATCAAAAAAATAAGTTGGGCTAAACTGGCTCATCATGGAACATAGAACTTACCTTCAGGCTAGTTATCAAATTTCTTGATAAATCTAAGGATCGGAGGTTTTTAAAATTTCTGAAGGCATCACCAATGGAATGGATTTTTCCAGCATAAGATCCCTGCAATGAAAGAGACTCCACCAGTTCTGAAAAGAGATCATCAGTAGATATATTATGATCTCTGCTTAGATAAACAGCAGAGTCAGCGAAAACAGGCCTTCCTTCCTCCCTTATCCCATCTGCGAAAGGTCCTACATCCAAAGCTCATAAGAAGATCAGATTTTCCTTTTAAAAACAGCAATATGGTCTAATACAGTGATACCAAACTTTGGTTTTACAGAAGGCTTGGGTTTCTCTAATTACCCTAAAGGATGTAGTAAAAGTCTCCAAAAGTTCTCAAAACACACACATGAACAAAATTCAGCAATCCTGAATTTGCCAGGATATGTAATCTATATCACAAGGAATCCATTTGTGGATCTTTCACTCATATGTGGAAGATAAACATACAAGCAAACACATAGATAAGGAGAACAGATTGGTGGTTACCAGAGGGGAAGGGGGTCAGGGGAGGGTGAAAGGGGTAAAGGGGCACATGTGTGTGGTGACAGATGAAAACTAGACTATTGATGGTGAATACGAGGCAGTCTATACAGAGGCTGAAATACAATAATGTACACCTGAAATTTATACAATGTTATAAACCAATGACCTCAATAAAATAATTAAAAAATAAAAAAATGTATATGGCCAAAAAAGGAGAATGTCCTTGAAAAAGCAGTAAACGGTAATTTTATTAAATCTTGATCCTTGTGTACATGTCTTTTTTATACCGTGTGACTAAATGGGAAGTATGTGTGAAGTACTGAAGTATGATGGATGCCTTGAGGGAAAACACTTGTGTGATTTTTGAGATGTCAGCTGAACTAGCCACTTTTTTATGGAATACCACTTTTACTTGAAAAGAAACCTGACATACTATGGTTATTTAGACTTGAATATGTGGCAGGCATTTTCTCAAAAATAAACAAAGTGAGACGTCATTTCAGGAAAACAAGTGATACTAACTGTTGTCAATTATAACATTTGAGCTTCCAGGCAGAAATTAGAATTCTGGAAAACTTATATCTGCCACTGTGAACTTGACAGCTTCCCAGCACTTGAAGATCTTTCTAGTGGGATTGGTGATGATATTAACAAACATGATTTTTTAATGTTACATAATGAAATTTGTCAATATTTGGAAGATCTACATAACTCAGTGAGTCAAATGACTGATGCATAATGTTACAAAATCATACATAAGTAAAAGATCCATTTAAATGCAAGATATACCAATGGATTTTAATGTAACAATACAGTTTATTGACATGGTTTCAGATTCCACATGCCACTAAACTTTAAGAAACTACCATATGCCCAGTTTTCATTTCATAATACATATAGATACTATGTACTGGGGGGCTTTGGGGAGAAGAAGAGAAAAAGAAAAAAAAGATTGGCAACAGATGTTAGCTCAGGGCCAATCTTAAGAAGAAAAGGCAAAACAAATCTGTGATGGTAGAAATCAGAACAGCAGTTGACTCTAGGGATGGAGAAATGACTGGAAAAGCCAGAAGGAAACTTTCTGAGAGAATGAAAATGCTCCATACCTTTATTGGGATGTTGGTTACATGGATAAATGTTTTTGTCAAAACTCAAATCATATATATGATAAGGGATTAAATTCAGAATATATAAAGAATTCCTACAACCCAACAACAAAAAGCAAACAACCCAGCTAATAAATTGGGAAAAGGAATTGAACAGATATTTCTTGAAAGATAACATACAAATGGCCAACAAGCTCATGAAAATATGCTCAGCATCATTAGTTGTTAAGTGAAATGCAAATCAAAACCACAGTGAGGGGCCGGCCTGGTGCAGCAGTTAAGTGCGCACATTCCGATTCCACGGCCCGGGGTTCGCCAGTTTGGATCCCGGATGCGAACATGGCACTGCTTGGCAAGCCATGCTGTGGTAGGCGTCCGACATATAAAGTAGAGGAAGATGGGCACGGATGTTAGCTCAGGGCCAGTCTTCCTCAGCAAAAAGAGGAGGATTGGCAGTAGATGTTAGCTCAGGGCTAATCTTCCTCAAAAAAAAATAAAAATAAAAATAAATAAATAAATAAATAATCATTTTTTAAAATACCACAAGGAGAGACCACTTCACACCCACTAGGAGAGCTAAAATTAAAAAAAAAAAGGAAAATTGTTAGCATTGGTGAGGATGTAGAGAAACTGGAATCCTCGTATATTACTGGAGAGAATGTAAAATGGTGCAGCCACTATGGAAAACAGTTTGGTAGTTCCTCAGTAAGTTAAATATGGTATTACCATATGACACAGCAATTCCACTCCTAGATATAGACCCAAAAGAACTGAAAACAAGTGTTCAAATAAACACTTATACACAAAGGTTCACAGCAGCATTATTCACAATATCCAAAAGGTGGAAACAAGCCAAATGTCCATCAATGGGAGATGAATAAACAAAATGTGGTATATATCCATACAATGAAATATTACTCATAAAAAGGAATGAAGTCCCAGCAAGTTATTTTGTAGATATCAACAAAGTGATTCTAAAGTTTATATGAAAAGGCAAAAGACCCAGAATAGTCAACACAACATTGAAGAAGGAAGACAAAATCAAAGGACTGATACTACCTGACTTCAAATCTCACTGTAGAGCTATAATAATCAAGTCAGTGTGGTGTTGGAAGAGAAAAAAAAAGACAAATAGATCAATGGATAGAATAGCAAGCCCAGCAACTGACCTAAACAAATATAGTCAACTGATCTTTGACAAAAGAACAAAGGCAGTTCAGCGGAAAAAGGAGAGTCTTTCAACAAACGGTGCTAGAACTGGACATCCACATGCAAAAGAAAAAAGAAAAAGACACAGAGTGAGAGAAATACATACAAAACACATATCTGAAAAAGGACTGGTATCCAAAATATACAAAAAACTCTTAAAATCCAACAATAAGAAAACAAACAAGCCAATTAAAAAGTAGGCACAAGATTTGAACAGAGACCTCACTGAAGAAGATATACAGATGGCAAATAAACATATGAAAATATGCTCAACATCATAAGCCATTAGGAAATTGCAAATTAAAGCAACAATGAGATACCACTACACATTTATCAGAAGGACCAAAATTCAAAACACTGGCAATGGCAAATATTGGTGAGGACATGGGGTGTCTTAGTCTGTTGAGGCAGAGATAACAAAATACCACAGACTGGGTGGCTTATAAACAATAAACATTTATTTCTCACAGTTCTGGAGGCTGGAAGTCCAAGATCAGGGTGCCAGCATTGTCAGGTTCTGGAGAAAGCCTTCTTCTAGGTTGCAGATTGCCTACTTCTGAACACGTCCTCACATGGTGGAAGTGGGCAAAAGAGCTTTCTCTCTGGCCTCTTTTATAAAATCATTAATCTCTTTTATGAGAGCTCCACCCTCATGACCTACTCACCTCCCAAAGTCCCCACCTTTTAAAACCTTCATTTTAGGCATTAGGATTTCAACATATGAATGGAGGGTGGGCAGGGCACAAATATTCAGATCATAGTTGGGGCAACAGGAACTCTCATTCATTGCTGGTAGAATGCAAAGGTATAGCCTTTGGCAGTTTCTTTTCTTTTTTTTTAAGATTGGCACCTGAGCCAACATCTGTTCCCAATCTTCTTTTTTTCTTCTTCTCCCCAAAGCCCCCCAGTACATAGCTGTATATCCTAGTTGTAGGTCCTTCTGGCTCTGTTATGTGGCACGCCGCTCCAGCATGGCTTGATGAGTGGTGCAACGTGTGCCCAGGATCCGAACCAGTGAAATCCTGGGCCGCTGAAGCGGAGTGTGCAAACTTAGCCACTCGGCCATGGGGCCGGGCCCCTAGTAGTTTCTACAAAGCGAAATAATTCGGCAGTTTCTTACAAAGCTAAATACAGCTTACCATATGATCTAGCAATCATACTCCTTGGTAATTACTCAAGTGAAAGTTTATGTCCACACAGAAACCTGCATGTGAATGTTTATAGCAGCTTTCTTCATAATTGCCAAAACTTAGAAGCACCTAAGATGTACTTCAATAAGTAAATTGAGGGGCCGGCCCAGTGGCGCAGCGGTTAAGTTCGCATGTTCCATTTTGGCAGCCAGGGGTTCATTTGTTTGGATCCTGGATGTGGACCTATGTACCGCTTGTTGAGCCATGCTGTGGCAGGTGTCCCACATATAAACTAGAGGAAGATGGGCATGGATGTTAGCTCAGGGCCAGTCTTCCTCAGCAAAAAGTGGAGGATTGGTGGCAGATGTTAGCTCAGGGCTAATCTTCCTCAAAAAAAAAAAAAAGGTAAATTGATAAACTATGGTATATCCACACAGTGGAATATTATTCAACAATAAAAAGAAATGAGGGGCCGGCCCACTGGTGCAGTGGTTAAGTTTGCATGTTCTGCTTCGGTGGCCCGGGGTTTGCCAGTTTGGATCCCAGGTGCAGACTTGGAACGCCATGCTGTGGTAGGGGTCCCACATATAAAGCAGAGGAAGATGGGCACGGATGTCAGCTCAAGGCCAGTCTTCCTCAGCAAAAAGAGGAGGATTGGCAGCAGTTAGCTCAGGGCTAATCTTTCTCAAAAAAGAAAAAAGAAAGAAAGAAATGAGATGGGGCCAGCCCAGTGGTAGTAGGATTGGCAGCCAGTTAGCTCAGGGCTAATCTTCCTCAAAACAAAACAAAACAAAAAGAGCTATTGATCAAGCCTTGGAAAGACATGGAGGAACCTTAAATTCATGTTGCTAAGTGAAAGAAGCCAGTCTGAAAAGGTAACACACTGTATGACTCCAACTATATGACATTCTGAAAAAGGCAACAGTAAAAAGACCAGAGGTTCAGTGGGGAGGGAGGGATGAACAGGTGGCGCACAGGGGATTTTTAGGGCAGTGAAACTATTCTGCTTGATACTATAATGGTGGACACATGACACTATATATTTGTCAAAACATGCAGAACTGTACAATACAAAGAGTGAACTCATGTAAACTATAGACTTTAGTTAATAATAATATATTAATATTGGTTCATCAATCATAACAAATACACCAC